GGGCTCTGGCGGCGAGCCTCGTGCCGGAGATGCCGCCAGCTTAGCCCTGACATGTAGACCCGATCCTACGTTTGAATCCTGCCCAACATCGCCGGCGGCTGTCATGTTTTCTTGGGGCTTAGACCCTAGCTTAAGGCTCAGGGGGTTGTATGGTTCAGGGTTTACGGCTGAGGGTTTACGCTGCGCGAACGCATGCTTGAAACAGACATCTGCAACCAAGGTGCCCGCTGCTCCGTGCACCTGAGATCACGTGAGGCTTAGGGTTTAGGGCTTTCGGATTTCACTGCCGTGGACTTTGTGAACCCATGCCGGGTCACCCACACACAAAAGGAACAGACTAGAAAGCCCGGGCCTATACCCTAAACTCCAAACCATCAATCCATCTACCCCGCTCGGGCAGCCTCACTTGCACGTTTTAATCATCCCCGGTTTTCTCTTTCGGCAGCCCCGTGGACAAAGTCGCTTGAGGTCCTTTCAGCAAAACATGTAGTTTCGGTGCTTTCGTAGAAAGCATGATGCAACAAGTTAACGATCATGTCCAGCAACGGCCTGGTAGCCTGACACAACCTACTTACTGTTCTGTAGCATCTAATTCGGTCCTTAGCACCCTTTAAAACCCTAAGCCCTAAACCCGAAACCCTAAACCCGAAACCCTTACACCCTAAACCCTAAACCCCTAAACCCTACACCCTAAAGCCTAAACAACTAAACCCTCGACCCTGATTGCCACCACCCTGGACTAAAAATGTACTTATCCCCTTGGTCAGGGTGGGGTTTGATACCTTCGTCTCTTTGCAATAAGGGCTTAAAAGAGGTTCCTCCAGTTTATATAATTTATGTAGGGGCCTTGGTAATTACAATAGGGTTATACTACAACAAAAAGAAGGAACCCCCAAAGATAATTTTTCGGCTCCTAAAAGTATAAGGGGCCAGTAAGGCTTTTAGGGTTTTGGGTTCAGGGGTTTGGGGGCCCAGTAAGGGTGTATAAACCCTAACCCTAAACCCTAAACCCTAAACCCTAAACCCTAAACCCTAAACCCTAAACCCTAAACCCTAAACCCCGCTCCCAAAGCCGAACCACCATCATGAGACACTCCAGGATCTAGCATTCTCCAATACGAAAGCAGCACCGCAAACCCTAAACCACAAGCCCTGAACCCTAAACGTGAAGCCCTGAAACCTAAGGCCTAAACCCTGAACCCTAAACGTTAAAACCCGAACCCACAGGCCTAAACCCTGAACCCTGAACACCTGAAACCCTGAAGCCTGAACCCGAAACATGAAACCCTGAACACATGAAACGCTGAAGCCTGAAGCCTAAAAACTAAACCCTGAACACCTGAAACCCTGAAGCCTAAACCCTAAACATTGAACCCTAAACCCTAAACACTGAACCGAAGATTAAACCCCGAAAGCCTGAACCTGAATCCTGCAGCCTTTGGTGAGTGGTATTTCTGCTCGGGTTTGAGGTTTAGGGTTTAGGGCTTGAGGTTTAGGGTTTAGGGTTTAGGGTTGGGTTTACAGGCTTAGAGAGGTTTGAGGTTTAGGGTTTAGGGTTGGGGTTACAGGCTTAAAGGGCTTTAGGTTTTAGGTTTTCGGGTTGGGACTACAGGCTTTTAGAGGGGTTCAGGGTTTCGGGGTGAGGGTTTCGGGCTTGGGGGTTACAGGCTTAGAAGGGCTTTAGGGTTTAGGGTTGGGTTTGCAGGTTTAAAGGGGTTGAGGGTTTAGGGGTTTAGGGGTTGGGAGTTGGGGGTTACGGGTTTAAATGGGGTTTAGATGGGTTTAGGGTTTGGCGTTTAGGGAAAAGCATGATGGCAACCTCTTCGGAGTCTCCACGATCCTGACATACACTCCTAACACCTAAATGCAAGTCCTGAAACAACATTCTATATGTGTTCGATGCGCAATCCTTTAGATAGACACTCTTCTAAGCTCAGAAAACACTGTCGCATTGAAGGTGGTGCCGCGGCGGCTCAGGTTCATGTCTAAATCCGAAACGCACTAAACTCTTCTTGGAGAGCTTGCAGAACCCAGAAAACCCAAAACTCTCCAACGTAGAATCAAGGCAGGGTATATAACTCTCTAAATTCGGCCGTTTCTGGGTGCTTATCTGTAGGGGTGCCATATTGTACAGGGGGAACTCTCATTTGGCAAACAAGCCAGAAACGCTAGACCCCAAACCCTAAACCCTGAACCCTAGACCCTAAACCCTAAACCCCAAACCCGAGAAAACATCTGGTGCCAGCCTATAACCCTAAGGGTCCATGTAATCACCCAAATAGATATACTTTGGCCTTAAAGTCGTCCCTATATAAGTACTTTGGGACCAATGTATATACTATTGGGGTACATGGACCCTCAGGGTAACCTAAATCCAGCCTAAACCCTAAACCCTAAACCCTAAACCCTAAACCCTAAACCCTAAACCTAAATCCAGCCGATCCACGTGAAGGGTACTCCCTCTCGACGGCATCCTCCGAACTCTGAAGAGTTCGACAGCTCCTCAGCTCGGGTTTAGGGTTTAGGGTTTAGGGTTTAGGGTTTAGGTTTTAGGGTTTAGGGTTTAGGGTCTACATTACCCATAGGCCCCATAGTAGTTCCTTTTTGGGGATTCCCTGATAGGATCCGATATATAA